TATTTGTATATATATATATATATATATATATATATATATATATATATATATATATGTGGTGTGTGTGTGTGTGTGTGTGTGTGTGTGTGTGTGGTGTGCGTGCGTGTGTGTGTGTGTGTGTGTGTGTGTATATATATATGTGTGTGTGTGTGTATACACAAATATGCACGCACACGCACGCACGCACACAGACACACACAACAGACACACACACACACACACACACACACACACACACAACACAACACACACACACACACACACACACACACACACACACACATGTATACACATGTTAAATATGTCTATCTACAGACATCTTTCTAAATATATTTGTGTGTGCGTGTGTGTGTGTGTGTGTGTGTGTGTGTGTGTGTGTGTGTGTGTGTGTGTGTGTGTGTGTGTGTGTGTGTGTGTGTGTGTGTGTGTGTGTGTGTGTGTGTGTGCGTGTGTGTGTGTCTGTGTGTGTGTGTGTTCACGTTCACCTATTCCTCGGTGTAAATTCCTTTCTTCCTCGTCTCTTCTGTTTCTCAATTCATTCCATATTTCTCAATTCATTCTCTATAAATTTGTATTCGCAAACTCCAACACTTTCCATTTGTGAAATATAGTCCCATTTACGACATTCCTCTCAAGTGAATGAAATGTGCCTTGCATATCTATCCATATTTATCTATATTCTATATTTATCTATATTATATATATTATCTATATATATCTATATATATAATATTATCATATTTATCTATATCTATCATCATAAATATTTATCATATATCCATATTTATCTATATCTATATTCATCATAAATATTTATCCATATTTATCTATATTCATCATAAAATATCCATATTTATCTATATAATATTCTCATCCACATTTATCTATATCTATATTATCAAATATCTATCCACATTTATCTTATCTATCATCATATATCTATCATATTTATCTATATCTATATTATCATAAATCATATCATCTAGTATTTATCTATATCTAATATAATATCTATAAATATATTATCATATTCTATATCTCTATATTCATAAATATCTATAAGTATTTATCTATATCTATGTTAGTCATAAATATGCATCCATATTTATTATATCTATATTCATCATAAATATCATCCATTTATCTATATCTATATTCATCATAATATCTATAAGTATTTATCTATATCATATAAATATTCATCCATATTTTGCATATTTATCTATATTCATATAAATATTCATCCATTTTCTATATCTATATTCATCATAAATATCTATGCATATTTATCTATATCTATTTCATCATAAATATTCATCCATATTTATCTATATCTATATTCATCATAATATTTATCCATATTTATCTATATATATATTCATCATATATTCATCCATAATCTATATCTATATTCGCCATATTTTTCTATATTATATTCATCATAAATATCTATCCATATTTATCTATATCATATAATATATATTTATCATAATATTCATAAATATCATGCTATCCATATTTATCATATAATTACAATGTCAAATATTAATCCAGTGTTATTTACATGGAATATCAATCGCACTCCATATGGCAACATCGCTCACCCTACTACAGGAGGAGCCATTTTTGTAAACATCACGAATCGCACATCTATTATCAACCTTCTAGAATAACCAATATTCCAGTTGATAGATGTTTATTAAGAACCAAACCACTGCTACCATCACACACAATACACACCATATAGCTTGTTCTGTGTCTTAAACTGGCTATTAAACGTAAGTAGTTTTAGGATTTTCATTCTGTACCTTCCGGTTACTTTAATGGGGATAACTGCAGCATTTGGCGAAGGTACAAACCGATTGATGAAAGAAAGGAATAGGAAGAATATTGAGTTGTTAACATTGAAAGATATTTTGTTAATTGAAAGAATATTTTGTTAACATTTGAAAAGAATGTTTGAAAGAATATTGAGTTAACAGAGTTTGAACAGTTTGAAAGAATATTTGTTAACAAACAGCAGAATCTTTGTTTGTTGAAAGAATATTGAACTTTGACCCAACAGTTTTTGAAAGAATATTTTGTTAACTTTCTTCTTTGAAAGAATCAGTTTGAAGAATACCAGTTTGAAAGAATATTTTGTTAACAGTTTGAAAGAATATTGGTTTTCTATTGGGAAGAATGGAAAAGAACTTAGAGCTTTGATCTTTACTTTGATCTTTACGGATATACAGAGAAAAGGTGTGGTATCTAACGAGACATATTACAAGACAAGGGATAAGAAACGCTTCATAAAAGGGATTAAACGTATTTAGAAATCTACATTTATAATACGATGAGTTATTTAATAACAGGGCGAGAACGTTGGCAAAATGGTTCATCGAGAATTATAACAGCGGACGTTTTCCCGGTCTGTTTACATACGATACAAAATTCGATACAAAATTTGTGCAATGTTTCACAGGAAATAGGCTTATTTCAAAGTTTCTAGCCATTCAAACTATTTTCTTTGTCCTTAGAGGTACCACTAAACAATTCCTTCGAGTGTCACAGGATATTTGACCCTACAGCTATGGGACATAAGACCGATTGTTGGTTGTTTTATGGAACCAACTGAAAAGGCTGTCTCTCTGTATATCACTGTACTCCTGCCAAACAAGTAATTTTCTGCTATTATGGATCTTGATGAGCCATTTAACAACGGGGCGAGAACGTTGGGAAAATGGTGCATCGAGAATTATAACTAGTGGATGTTTTCCCTGTCTGTTTACGGCCTTCGAACTTACAGTATGGAATAGTCTGGGGTTTTGTCCAGTTACGTAATGCTGGGAAATACAGGAATTGGGACGTTAATAGCTTTAGCAAAACAGAATTCAAGCCAAAGGATATTAGAACTTCAAAGCTGGAGATCAGATCAGGAATGGAAGTGTACCAGAGAATTTTTTTAAATATTTCACTAGTTTGGTTGAGCCATAGATAGAAATACGAGGTTGGGACAGCTTTTCATTAATAAAAACTAATGGAGATACCATATCAATGGAGAAAAAAGGGAGTATTTTCGGATTATTTCTTTTTGTTGCTTTAATACGAAGACGTAGGGGTAACGTACTCAATATTAAGAAAATGTTATTAGGCCTACATTTATATCCTGTAAAACTAAATAAATCGATTTATGAAAAAAAGGATAATGAAATACATCACCTAATTTCATATTTATACCTTAAGGAAGTACACATTTTGGCAGATCAGAAGAAAAGTGGACATAGAACACCATTAACAAATACATAAAACTTTCCAGAAGACAGAAGGTTTCGGTACAACTTTTACACACGTGACCAGACAAGTTCTTCAACTTCTTGTGAACTGCAACACAAGTTCTTCAATATGCTCGGATTGCATAGATATTGCAGTGTGTTCGTCCCTTATAGTTGTGGTGAGCTTAGTTCACTTCGGAGTATCGACCAATCATAGCAAATCCTTCGAATTTTAGTTTGAAGTCCACTTTAGGAAAATAAAGTTGTGGATCTCGAGTTTTCGTGTTTACGTCACAGAAAACGGGAAGTCAAACACCTTAATCAGTAAGTAGTAGAGTAATTGTTATAATTTTTTGGAAGACCAGATGGAAGGAATATAATTATAAAGGTTGTGATGCGGTAAGAGAGAGAGGAGGAGCGAAAGAGAGTGGGAGAGTGAGAGAGAGAGAGAAGAGAGAGAGGGAGGGAGGAGGAGGAGAGAGAGAGAGAGAGAGAGAGAGAGAGAGAGAGAGAGAGAGAGAGAGAGAGAGAGAGAGAGAGAGAGAGAGAAGAAAGAGAAGAAGAAGAAGAAAGAGGAGAGAGAGAGAGAAGAGAGAGAGAATTTACAGAGAGATAAGCAATGGCATATCATAAAATATAGGGACTTTTCTTCGCAATTTTCTAACGTTTCAAGATACACTATCAACACAACAAAATGAAAACAGTAAGAAGTAAAGATTACGTTTTAATCCCATGATAAGACAGAGCGCTGAACATTTCTTTTAGGGAACTTATGGTGCCATAAAAAGATTTAAGAACCTCGTTATAATGGATCCAGATTTCAAGGAATTAAAAAAAAAAAAAAAAAAAAAAAAAAAACATTAGAAGACTGTAACATGTACAGTACATATCTAAAAAAAAAAAAAAAAAAAAAAAAAAAAAAAAAAAGACAATGGTTAATGTTAGTTTATATCTAAAAATTAAAATTCATAGAAACGGTTTTTATGGCAAACGAATTCTTGAGTGACCTGTCTTACGGAAAGATGAAACCTGACGGAAACTCTACTCGTACGCAGAGAATACAACGAAAAACATGTGTAAATGTGAAAGGGTGGGTCACACTAACAAGAGGAAGAAGGATGAGCTGTTACAGGGAAGAAATTACTCATATTAGACCCAGAAAAGTGAATTAGACCCAGAAAGAAATTACTTATATAGTCTGGTGCTTTTTTGGGGGTGAATTAGACCCAGAAAAGCTACAGGGATTTCCGAGCTGAAGAGGAAGGTTTTCAAAAAGAAAGATAATGAAAATTAGATAATAATAATAAGGATAATGATAAATTAGGAAATTAGATAATGATAATGATAATAAATTAGAAAATTAGATAATGATAATGATAATAAATTAGAAAATTAGATAATAATAATTAAGTA